ATCATAAAAAGCTCTGAGAGGTCATGAAGACTGATAAATCCTCCTCAGACCAAGATCGGCAACAATATTCAGGTGGTATGCAGCATGAAACCACAATAACCTGGTAGGGAGGCATCCAAAGATTGTCATAAAGCATTAGAAATATTAAAAAGTAGAGCTTTGTCTTTCCTCGGCTCACACAGGTAGCTAAGTGCTTTAGCCCGTCTGCTCTGAGGTTGACATGCCTTGCATACAGAGACGCTTAAACGAGTCTGGCGAAGTTCTCCTCTGACCTCCAGCATCAACAAGGTGGCCGCTCCCACTGGGTGCATTCTGTGTAAACGCCACAGGCAGTTTGACGTCAGTAGTATATGATTTACTCAGACTATTTCTTCTGCCACCTTTGCCAAAATCCACCACTCACCATCCTGAGGCTCAGTTTGATTCAGGATCCTGGTCGTCTGCACCAGGTCTGCATGCCTTAAAACATTTAGTTGCTGTGGTGTAATTGGCCGATATTTGCAATGACAGTTACATCAGGATTAAACAGGAGTACTCTCTAGATGTGGCCAGGTAAAATATATATGCTAAGTTGTCCAAAGGTATATTTCTGTATTTTTTATATTTTTTTACTGGAAAAAATCAACAGAAAATCCAGAAAATATTTTTTATGTAAATATTGTTTTTAGAATGGATACAAAGTGTGTATGTATTATGTGTTGGCATTATGCTGCATATCAGAATGATTCCAACCTAGGTGAAGGAATAAAACCACCTCTTTGCACCTCAGTGTACCGTGGGAACATCTTTCACAACTCCTGTCTCTCAATTTCCATCAAAACCTCATGCTTCTTTCTTGACCTCTTGACCCTTATACATGCAAACATGTCAAAGGAGCACAACCTCAAAATATCTCCTCTTAAAGCACTTTATCTGACCTGTGACCCAAACAGTTGTGTGGAGTGTGTCCTTTTACATACACTGGCAATACTCAAGTGATCATGTAGAGTCAAGGCTTTCCACTAATTTATAGTGTACAGTAATAAGCTGTGTATTCAGCAGTGGAGAGTAGTGATAAATAATGAATTGTGAAAGTAAGATATGAACCTTGTGGTGAATCAGGTCTGAGCCAATAGATGAGGCTTGCCCTGCTGGGTGTACTACTCTGATGAAAGATTGCACATTTACCCCCCTGAATATGTACGATCTATGCCGACAGTTTTCATAGGTGCTTTAATATTTAGCTACATTTCCAACACAACATGTTATAATATATGCTCATGATATTAGTTTATATTAAAATAATATAAAAATATATATAGCACATGGTAGTTATTATAGGAATTTACAAACTGACATATTTTAATACATCTACAGTATGTGTCATATCGGTTTGTGTTGGGGACACTTTTTATGGATTGTTTTCTGTCCTTTTCCAGCAATCATGACTCTGCAAACGAAGGGCACCAGCAGCACAAGAAGCATGAAAAAAGGCAATAAGTAGTCAGAGACAGAGAGAGGAAGGAAGAGGGAGAGAGAGCGAAATAACAGAACAACTAAACAGATCCCAGTCTTCACAGATTCCTTCCCTGATGTTCAGAGCAGAAAGCGTGATGCAATTAACAGGGGAAAAAAAACATTGATTTTTCTCTCTCTTTCTCTCTCTCTCTTCACTGCTTTGCTTATATCCCTCTCTCCCTCTCTCTCTGCCCTGGTTCCCAATAGGAATAAAGCATGAATACACTACAACCCATCCTAGTAATCTATAATCTATAGCAGGCACAACAAGATGAGAACCTGCTTATCAAGTGCTAAATTGAAACCTGTATTGTAATGATTTTGGAAAAAGAATTTGATGTTGATGTCAGAGGAACTAAAGACACACTGGGATATATTTCATGTCATTTGGTCAGAATGAAGAATATCAACTGGTAACTTGTCACTAATTTCAAATCTAGATGCGTGGCCATGCCTGTGAGGCAGGAGGGCATCAAGGGAGGCTTTCATGAATTATTCTTGTAGATTGAGAGGATTTTAGAAAAGCACCAAAGTGAAGAAAATTCTAATTTTCATCTACCTCTGCCTTTGTCACTTTTACTCTGTGTTTCTTTTGATTTTTATCCATGTGTTGTGTCTCTATATACAGCACGATCCAAGAGTATGGTGCTTGGAGAGCTGTCTCGGGTCTCCAGGCCCTGCTCTCCTCTGGACCAGGAGAAGGCCCTGAAGGCCGGCTGGCTGAAAAGGCAGCGGAGTATCATGAAAAACTGGCAGCTGCGCTGGTTTGTCCTGAGGACTGAAGCTCTGTATTTCTACAAGGACCAGGACGAAACCAAAGCACAGGTGACGCGAAAAGACAGCAATTCAATGCACTGATCATATGCAACAATAGAAAAAGAAATGCTGTAACTCAGTTGTTCCCTAACTATTTCTAATAAGCACCTCTTACTCTGTACATTCACATATTCATAGCTATGGCTTCAAAACCAATGTACATAACTGTACACTGTCCACACAGTGGCAGAGAATAAAGAATATTAAAACCACACAGTGGCAGAGAATAAAGAATATATTGAAAATGACCTTCATATGCCTAGCTGTAGCCCCTGTAATAGCTCTGAACCCATCTGGGGGGCCTGCCCCCCACCTTTGGAAACACCACTGCAGTGTTAGCACAATTCCATATTAACTCTATTTCATCAGTTAATTTAAAATTTGTATTATTTTATGAATATTCTCCATGGCTTCAGGGTTCAACAACTACATACAGGGGTTTAAAATGAGCGAGCAGTGTTATTGCTGTAGCTAATTATTATACAAGATCTTCATCAGATTTGAATTGTTCTCCCAGATGGCTTCAAGTCCATTTCTCAAATTGTTTCACATAAAGGCCTGATACATATTCAGGCTTCATGAATTTATCTTATTAGCATTTTCCCCCATGAGACCAGTACAGCAATTATGTTCTTTAACTCTGAAAACAAGACTATTCACAATTAAATTAAGGAGTGAGGCACTTTTCTTAGAGTCAAAACTATTAGAGTTTCCAACTGTCATTATTGCCCTAAAAAGAATTAATATTTAACTTAATCCCAAACCCTGACGTGATGTTAATTTCGTGACACAGTAAGGTGTTATTACATTGATGTGATAACTACATACGTGTTCTTTGGTTCTGTTGTACTTAGACTTTTAACCCTCTACGCCGGTGGAGGGATATGTGGATTATTTTGTTGAGTCATCCAACCATCCACCCATAGTCATTACCTCCCTGTCTTGGACACATGCCCAGAACCCGCTAGTGCTCAGAACCCTTGTGTTCAGCATGCACAGGTCCATGTCCAGAACCACTCAGTGACTTGGCTCTATGGGGGGTTTTGTAGCTGCTATTTTTCCCCTGTCCAGCATGCACAACAGGTCCATGTCCAGACCCACTCAGTGACTTGGCTCTATGGGGGTTTTGTAGCTGCTATTTTTCCCCATGTCTGCCTTACAGAAGGTCTTTTTTCAATGTTTGTCTTTGATATTTCTCCCTCCCTCTTCTCCTTCAGGGTTGTATTCCTCTTCAAGGCAGTCAGGTCAATGAGCTGCCTGTCAGTCAGGACGAGCCTGGTCGCTACCTTTTTGAAATTGTTCCAGGTGAGTTTGGCTTGGCAATAACATGAAGTATTTTTCATTATTTCTGAGATATTGAAGGATTGACTTAATCATGTCTAATTTGGTGTCTACCAAAATCTCTACATTTCTTTACTGCGTCACGCTGCCTTTAATTTTGGCGTATCCCCCAACTGTTCTTTGAACCCATCTGTCACTCTGACTGCACACCCTAGCTCTCGATTTTATCTGTATACATGTCAGACACAAACCTAGCATTGCATAGATCCACAAAAACCCCGCCAGACTCCATTTGGTATTCTGCATCCTGATTATCAGGACAGATTTTGTGTCTTCACCTACTTTTAAAATATCATCGCTATATTTTTATGCTGTTAGTGTTACAGTCTGGTTTGGAAGTAGCACACATACAGTACAAGACATCAGCAGAATTTGACACAGAGGTTTTAATGGCGTTCCAATGGTGTTCAGATGGAATCTGAATTTGTTCAGCTCCAGTGAATGTACTGCCCCCAGCAAAAACATCAACCTGATGTCAGCTTTGCTTAAGTGTTGTATTTCTGTGTTGCTCGATTGTGCACAAACAGCTATTTCTTTTTTTGCAAACCTTGCTGTAATGAATGAAAAAACAGAAGTAAATCAATAGCTTCCTGTGCGTCACAAGTCATTTCTACATCTCTGTTTTCAATGACGACTTTCAATGAAACGCCTCATATTAAAGTTATGCAACGTAGATATTCCCCAAAAGTGTCAATTCCTTATAAGGATGTGTATTAACAATAGAAATCCAACAGGGGCAATTTCAAATTTGAAGAGAGAAAAACATACAGATTGATTCATGCAACCGTTCCATTAAGAATTCAACTAATGTCGTCAGTTTTCATTAGACAACAGTAAACAGCCTGATTATTTATGTTGCTAATGTGTTAAATCAGGTTTAATGAATGGTTTAAAACTGTTTTCAGGAGGAGAGAGAAGAGCAGGTTCTGATCAGACAACATGCAGTTGCTTGTGTCCACAGGGAGTTGATACATTTTCTGGGTCATTTTCACCTCACATAACACAGCGCTCTGCACTGCAGGACTAGCAGAAGTAAAGATGTGGGGCACAGGCAGAACTCTAAGTAGGAATGGGAAAAGCTTTTACGTCCCACGAACCAAGTACTTTTTTTTAAATCAAGAGGGGCAGCACTAAACTAAAATGTCAGACTGGAAGTTGTCATGCTGTGTGAGGGTAGGTCACAACATCACAGGTGTCTTTGTACTTAACATCAGTGTTTAAAATAAAATATTGATTGTACCTCATTATAAAAGATAACAACAAATGTTCCTGAAATAAAATATTGATTGTATTATAAAAGATAACAACAAATGTTCCTTTTTTGACCTGCTGTCAATGGTCGTTTTTCCAGGCGGGGCTGGAGAAAAGGATCGAACAGGTATAAGCCATGAATCATTCCAGCTGATGGCCAACTCCCAGAGTGATATGGAAGACTGGGTCAGAGCCATACGAAGAGTCATATGGGCTCCACTCGGAGGAGGTTTGAGTCTTAAGCACACTTGGTTTAATGTAGACTGAGTGACTCTGTTTCTTCTGTGTGGTCTGACAATAAATCCCAGATGCTGTTAAGCAAGCTATTGGTGCAAATGATAAGATAGGTTTTCACTTTTTAACCATACTTACAATTACAGTTGTATGTACTGTAGTTATGCTGTACTACAAGTACAAAAACAAAGCTGTTGACAATTTATCGTTGTTTGTTTTAAGACTTCTGTTGTAACACAAAAAAACACACAAAAGGCTAAAGAGTTGCCTGTGGCTCAAGAGCCAATGGTTACAGACCTCAGATCTACCAGCACAGTTTACAATTTCTATATAGAACCTGGACTGCTATCACAAACAACTACAACAAGTCAAAAATGCCCATTTTCAAAAGAACTAAAATCGAATTACTTTGTTACGTTCTTTTCTACTTTTCAACCTTCTGGTGATATATTTCTGTAATCTTTTTATGTAGGCGTCTTTGGACAACACTTGGAAGAGACAATGTTGTGCGAGGTCCAGTGTGGCCCAGAGCACCTTGTCCCTGTGCTGGTCGAGCAGTGTGTTAGTTTTATACGTCAACACGGGCTTCAGGAGGAGGGTCTCTTCAGAGCCCCAGGACAAACCAATCACGTTCGAGAACTGCAGGATGCATTTGACCGTGGTGAGAAGCCAGTGTTTGACAGGTAGGCTGGGGCATGGGTCACATTTCTCATCATTTTAATTTTTGATTTCAAATCTTTTTCGATCTAAATCTTAACATGAACTGTCTGCCAACAGTACCACTGACATCCACACAGTGGCATCCCTACTAAAACTGTACATACGGGAGCTGCCAGAGCCTATAATCCCATTCTCCAAATATACACAGTTTCTTTCTTGTGCTCAGATACTCACCAAGGACAGGGAAATGGTAATAAAAATTAATATTTATATTCCAGATACAATTTAACATAAAAGTAACTATTTCCCTTGTTGTTTCAGGGTATCATAGAGCTGGAGAAGCAAGTCAAATCCCTCCCTCAGGTCAACTGTAACCTCCTTAAATACATCTGCAGGTATGTCACCATCATCTTAATTTCCAAAGAATTAACATAAGCTAAAGTTCTTAAGCCTTCTCCAAGCATTGTAGTCACTAAGAAAATGCTTTAAGTCATGTTCACACACGGCTAACCTTCGACTCAGGTTTCTAGACGAGGTACAGTCTCACTCGGACGAGAACAAAATGAGTGCCCAGAATCTAGCCACAGTTTTTGGTCCCAACATCCTTCGGCCCAGGGTGGAGGATCCTGTCTCAATGATGGAGGGTAGGTGCAAATGTCAACATTCACACAAGGGCAACAACGTCACAACAGCACCTGGTTTTACCTCTTCTGCCTTAGGAACCCTCTCTATTCTTGGTAGCATTCGATATAATATTGGTCCAAATTGAAATAATAGCACTACAAAGTTTTCATTTTTTGGTACATAATACAACCATGATGTGCTCTGCTGGTTTGAGAAGTGATGTACTTTGTATATAAGTCAATGGAAAATGAATTGTCCTTCAATAAATAATGACAGCATTTGTTCACTTATGTAACAGTTGATCGCTAGATTAAAAGAATATCTTGTGAATGGTAGCCCACCTGTGTAATAGTGACCCCACCATCTGCTGTCATTGGTAACATTAACCTTTTGTATGATGTTAGCAGTGGTATACTGTATCAAAACAAATATTACTAGCAAATAACTCCTGTGTTTTGTACTTGTGTTTGTTGTTGTACACAGGCAGTTCCCACGTGCAGCACCTGATGACCGTGCTGATCAGTGAGCACTCTCGTCTTTATCCGTGTGATGAGCCAGAACCAGAGAACAATATCAACTCAGTACAGCGGCAAAGTCCTGTTCAAAGATGCAAAGTGGAATGGGTGTTACAAGACCCTGACGCCGCACTCTCATCGGGCACTAATGACAAAAGTCCAACAGAGAAACCACATTCTTTAGCCCCTTCTTCAGACAGCAAGACAGTTACTGCACCAAGCCCCACTGCAACACTACAGAAGGAGGAGGATGGTCAGTTAGATGGGAAGGACAAAAGTAAAACAGATGAAAAGGTAGAGGAGAAAGCAGATAATAAATCTGATGGAAAAGGTGGGAGTGAAGTCGCTGTTAGTCCCAGTAAACAGTCCAAAGCCCTGCCTTCCTGGAAGAGTTCTTTCAAGGGCAATGCATCATCTGCGGGGGCCCGAGGAAAAATAGGTGGATCCGCTGGGGATGTGTCAGCAACTGGTGGTAGCAACTGGCTGATAAATGGCCTGTCATCCTTCCGTGCTCACAGACGCACCACCTCATCTGGTGAAAGACTGAAAGACTCTACTCTTTCTCTAAAGGATTCAACCATTTCTCTCAAAGAGGCCACACTCTCACTGAAGGACTCTCCAAGAGACGGTGATGAAGAATCAAGAACTCCTCTTCCTCACAGAGCTCTCCATCAGCCCCACAGACTGTCTGCCTATGACAACGTTGCCCCCTCCAGTCTGAGCCTGCCTGCTGATACCTCGATCTGGACCTCCTTTGAGATCTCACTTGCTGAACCAGAGGAGAGTGACAAGAAAGTCAAAGCTGTGCAGGGTAAAGAGAGACCCTCAGAGGTCAGAGAGAGTACAAACGCTGTCACAGCGGACCAGAGTGGAAGTGGTACTGAGGATGATAACAAAGAAACGAATGATGACCTCGCCGACCTGCTGACCCAGCTCAAACAGGAGCTGAAGAAACAGAGGACGACTTATGAAAGCAACATTCACAAGTAAGAATAAGACGGAATCTATATACGACTAGGGTAAATACTTTTAAATTAAGTAATAAATATTTACTTATGTAGCTTTTGTAATTTATTCAAAACATCATACAGCAGACAAAATGACATTAAGGTTCTAACAATGAACTTAGAATTAGACTTAGTCCCAGTTTAGTCAACAGAACTGTTTTCATTTTAACTTAAGTTAACTAAAGTTATATTAAATTTAATCGACTGAAATGCAACCTTAAATAGGCTTATTGTGGCAATCCAACATGTGACCGTTATAATGAACATTATTATAAATATATTTTATTTATCGAACGTACATTTAATTTTCCTACGACGAATTATACAGTAAGACAGCATTATATTATACATAGTCGTTGATAGTAGTATTAAAATGTCAACAAGTCGCAAAAAAATTACGTCATCGTTTTAACAGATTGACGCATCGTCTGCTTACCTATGTGTGACTCTCATGATGACGTGTCTGGAGATGACGCCTCAAATTTGTCGTTCTTATCCTTTCTCGCCTAGTCGTTCCGTACAGTCTTGGCTTCACTAACGTAAAGTTAGATCTGTTCCACCTGACATGGTTTGACCACCAGTGGACCAGAATATTTCCACTATTAGCTCCATGCTTCTTCTATTTATTCTATTACAGGTCACATGTTCGCTATGATTGGATCTCCGTTTGTATGCACCGCCTTCTAGCAACAAACGTAGCTCTGATTGGCTCCCGTCTGCTACTTTCCATGACGAAATCACCAATGATTAGTTTGTCCATGAAACGTTTTTGTCTCGTTTTTAGGTAGACATATATTATAAATTATTATTATTTTAATCAGTAAAGTGTTTAAATGGTCAGAAATAAAAATTAAATTGCATTTTTTTATATCCTATGCAAATACTTTGCAAAAACAAAGTCAAAACAAAGTATTATTTCTTACTTATTTCTTACTTCTTACAAAAAAACAGAGGTTGGAGGAGTCCTGTTCCAAGTACCAGGCCCAGATACAACGCCTCGAGGAGGAGCTGGATCAGGAAAAGAAGAAATTTCAAATGCTGGAGATCCGGCTCAGAAACTCTGAACGGGCACATCAAGACGCAGAGAACCGCAACACTCTTCTCCAGGAAGAAATGGAGGAGTTCTTCAAAACACTTGGAGATCTAACAACCACAGCACCAAGGACTAGCTAAACAAGACCAACCAGACCTGAGATCATCTGGTCCTTAAGTGAAAGGTGCAAGGGCTTTATACCTGGGAAGACCAATCAGCCCCGAAAAGCTTTACAGACCAAATACCTCTAGTGCAGTTCTACTTGCCATCTTATTGACTTGTGCCTACACTGACCAATGCCAGTGCCAAAAGAGAACTCCTCTGGACCAAGACCACACCATTCCAAAAACCTCCTTACTATGATATTCCACAGGCCATGTAGCAGATTATTGACTCACCTCGTCTGTAAAATACAAGAAAAACCTTGTGTAACAGTGATTAGGTCCTGTTCTTAGAAAAAAAAAATCTTAACATTTAGAAAGGAAAAAAAGAACGATATCAGACTTTAAAATTCAACTCGTTTATTTTGTCTGAGTTGTATGTGTTGTAGGCAGTCTCTATCTCAGATGTACAGTATAGAACTGGTCTGTTAGTGAGGCAATTTCAAATCCTATGGCTAACATTCACACATTTGCTTTTACTATGACACATTTGGCAAATTTGGCCAGCTCATCAAAAGACTGCAGTGTCATCCCCGTAGTGCTTCTTTCTACCTGCACTGAAACGCAGGTCTGCTCAGTGAAAACTCATGCCTAGTCTATTCTAGCTCATCTAGTTCTGGGACAATGGACAGGAGAAAAAAAACAACGCTAAGAAGCCACATTCAACGTGAAGTGTTGAATATAAAGGTTGAGACATGTCTGACAACCCCCAAAGTGCATTCTGGGAGATGATCCAGGGGGTTATTGCCTAGGCTGCCCAACTGCTAAAAACGGACTTTTTAAGCCATCATTTTTCAAAGGTTACCTGCAAATACCTGTTTCCTGATTCTCAGAAAAATACATACATCTACATTAAAAATGTACAGATTGATTACCAGGTATGCTATTCTATGAACTATATTGCACAGAAGAAAAAAAACAGAAACAAAACGCATTTAAATAGTTCTTCTGAATGAAATGTACAAACAATAAATGCCTCCTAGCTTGAAACAAAACTAAATAAATTAAGAAAAAAAAAACACATTCAAAAAAATCTTTTTTTTCACATTTCTTTTGAATTGAGCATTCAGTGACATAGAGACTGTATCTTCAGTGTGTGTGTTTGTGTGCGTGTGTGTGTACGTGAGGTAGAACTCAAAGACGGATCACAGACTAAAAGAGTCTTCAGTGTAGAAGACTGAAAATCACAGAACTGATTAAGGGCACTTAAATCAAATATGTTACATTTCAGGTCAAACAGACTCTTTAAGACAGTGTTTTGTGGTGACTAACCTTAAGTACATTTCACGCATATTTAACAGTGGAGTTGCCCATATATATATACTGTATATACAGCACTAACAGTAATCATTGGTTCCTTTACTATGACACGTTTTTGTTCGCTTACATTCCCCCAATTGTTCCTGCTCACCCACAAATCCCTTCTAGGTGAAATGATAATTTAAAATACAATCAATTTACAGCATTAAAAAGCTAAATTCTGTTTCAAGCTCTCTCTGCTCCTGGCTAAAATACACAAAATCAGATGTGACATAACACTAAAAAATCTCTTACTTTAAGCTGCTTTCTACAAGAAAGAGAACCAATATTCACATAAAATAATATTCTTGAGTCAAATGTCCTGTAGTCTATTTCTTAAGAATTCAATTCACGTAAATGCCCCCCAAAATACTAACAATTGTTATACAAAAAAAGACAAATAAAGGTTTAAAAAATATACTCAACAAAACATTGCACTGCTAACAGCAGTAGCTAAAGTACAGTAACAGTAAACGTAAATAACACTCGACCCTCTCTTTCCATACATATGCCACAAGTTCACATGTAAAACATACTCTCTATTTTTGGCAACAAAAATATAATAAGGACAATCATGAAACCACAGTCATTTACAGCGAGTACAAAGGGAGGGGGGAAATTAAAATCGAGCTGTACATTAAAATCGATGCTCTACAAACTACCATGAACAGTTTCATTGGCCAAAGCCCTCGTACGTCATATACATTAATAGAGAAATATTACTTTCAGTACAGCTGAAGGCTCGCGTCTGTTATCTGCAGCAGGCCAGAGCACCCAGTGTGGTGGCGCCGTCCAAGCTGCTGTCTGTTTCAGAGGTCGTGGTGGGGTCACTGCAGGGGTCAGTGGGATCGGTGGACATTGAGGAGACATCGTTGGCTGACGAGGAAGAGGAGGATGTGGGCTGAGGCGGGCTATCAATCACTGCTGCACCTGTGCTGCGAAAAACACACGTAAAGGCAGAGGTTTCCTTGAAACACACAGTCACTGATTATTTTCTCATTCAACAAAACCTGTTGCGACATTTTTAATAAAAAAGAACATTTTCAAATCTGAGCAAATAAACTGAACCTAAAATGTTAACTCAGGGTGACAGAAAAGCAAAAGCACTTTTTTTGGTACAAAGGCAAAAGTGCTTGTGGTGGGATACCGCAAAAGGAAATCAAGCTCTGACTGTAATTAATCTTTATCGCCTTTTCTAATTTGCAATACTGATTACTCACCTAAAGGAGCAGGCTGGCCTCTAATCACACCGTTTTTTTTCCAGTCTTCCCATTCACTCACTTCCTTATAAATTAGCTCTGCAGATAAAAGAAAACAGGGATGTGACATGAGGCAGAGCAGGCAGAGGAATCACTGATGCATGTGCTGCATATGTACAATATACAAGGCAGTTTTTTTCCCATCTGCACTGACTGCACACTGTACAATTCATACAGCATCATGTTTCCTGTTTGGACACCGTGCGTCCGTGTGACCCATCTAAAAATGAATGAGGGGTCATTATCACCTGGCAGGGTTTAGGATGAGATCATCAAGTGGCACAACTGAAAATGATATTTCACATAGAAATTTAAAGTACTTGCATGTTCCACAGAATCATGTTCCTCATGCCACAGTGGACTGCCTCAGATGTAAGGTTACATAAACCTAACTCTAACTAAACAAACATCTCTGACATCTGTGGAGGAGTTCAACAGTTTACTGCTTCATAATGCAACTAGAAAAGCAGCAGAGAAGAAGAACTACATTTAAATAGGGTTATTTTAACTCTGTGTTTGCTGCATAATTCTCTGAATGCTTAACTAAAGAGGACAATCTACAGTGTATGGACTATTTTGGCTAACAGAACTAGTCTTTTAGTTAACATTTTATCCGTTATTATTTTTGAAATACTATTACCTATTATCTAATCTTTAGCTATTTTAGCTAGTTGTGAAGCTAACCTTTAGGAAATGTTAATTAATTAATTTCTGTTTAGGTTAATTTTCAAACATATGTTTAGGTGAACTTCCAAACATTTTTGGCTTATTTTAGCTCTTTAGCAGGATTTAGGTTATTTTTGTACATTTTCTTAAAAACTACTGAAAAAATACTATTTAGCCTTATTCGTTAAGCTAACTAAGCTAAGATTTTCTGATCCTGGGTTTGCAGGATCTTTATTGTGACCAAGAAACTATGAAAAGTGTTAAGAGTCACATTCACAAACAGTATTTCCGGCCTGCCTCACCTTTCAAGAGTCACATTCACAAACACAGTATTTCCGGCCTGCCTCACCTTTCCACTCGTCTACTGTGTGCTCCCTTTCATCCAACTGTTTGTCTAAAACCTTTGGAGGTGGCTAAAAAAAGAGAAACTTTTGTTTAGAACAGGTAATACACATTCCTTTAAATTTATTTTGTTCTTTCATAAATCCACTCACCGCCTCCACTTCTGCTGGGTCGTACCAAACATTAATGTAGGGGTGCTGCAGCGCCTCGTCCACTGAGATCCGTTTAGAAGCATCGATCACTAACATCCTGGATAGGAGATCCCTAGCTTGGCTCGCTGAGAGTTGAAACACAACCATCGTTAGGAGCTGCGCAATTGAAGACGACTGATTAATGCTTTGAATATGAACAGAAAAAAACTCCAACCTTTCAGTTTGTTGTGGTCAGAGTCAGCGGGGAACAGAACGTCTGGGAAGAGTTTCTCAAAGGTGTACCCAGCGTAGCGTGGCCTGTTTTCCACGTATGTTCTGACTGACTGGTTCAGCTTCATAAGGAAATCCTGAGATGGAGTGCCTAACTGTTCTATGACTTTGTTCCACTGGTCAATGTCTGGGGTTAAAAGGTCAAGGAAACAGCCACACACCAAACACAGTCATTTTATTCTAACTGGCCGTTGGGGCTTCGTATTAAAGAGTTCGGAGAAGCTACTTCATTGCAGGTGATGAGAAATAGTTCAATATTTTAAACATATTTATTAACCAGTATTTCAATATTTATTTAAAGTCCTGATATTTCAAATAATGGTATTAAAAAGGGGGTCCGCAACCCATAGGGTTCCATGAAGGGACTCCATGGGGTGATAAAAGAAATATCCATCCTTTAACACAGTTGGACAGTTGCTCAGTAGATAATAAAGAGTTACTGGCCCTTCGTTGTTTTACAGATGATGGAGGTGATGATGAAGGTCACATTCGCTGATTTGAAAAACTTGAAAATGAGATGTGACAGAGAGGAACTCCAGCGTGGTGAGGCGTCTCTTCACACAGAATGAAGTGATATTCACTCGACAGAGGATAAGGATACGATCAGTGCCGGGGAACAACACACTTCCCCTGATCATCTCAGCCACAATGCAGCCCACTGACCATACGTCCACTGGTGGCAGACATTTAGATGACAGGAAGGGAGGTGGACATGCAAACACAATGATGAGGATGTAAAAAATGAGAAAAAATAAGAAATAACAATAAAGAAAACACAACTCAGACTGAGAAGGTGAATGGAGAAGGTGCAGCGGAAAAAATGGAGTTCATGCAGCATCAGCCAAATATTAGATGCACTATGGAGCAGATTTAATGGAGATGTTGCTTAGATGATCCGATTAGATGACACATTGGAAGTTACACCTGACCTCATTTTTATTTCCCCATAACGTTACACCCACCCTTACATTCAAGCTGAATGAGACCATGAGAAGCATAAACACTTGAGGAAAGACCCAAGGATACAGTCCCTTCCTGGGAAAAGGATTTTATGTCGGACCATTTCTGCCAGTATGCAGCCCACAGACCATATATCCACTAATGATGTGGACCATGGTAAAAAAAAAAGCCAATAAAAGTGAGAAGAAGGCATAACAACAGGTTAGTCAGACATAGTCCAGTTAGAGAGAGTTTTCTAGGTAAAAGTATTCCTATTCAATACAGACACAATATATAAATTTAGAAAATTAACATCGACCTTTATGTCAAAATATGTGTCTTGAAATTTAGGTCACTCACCATTGGCTTGATAGCCCATACCCAGGATGACCTCTGGTGCTCTGTAGTAACGTGTAACCACATAAGGTGTCATCAGGAGGCCCGTGGCAGCTGTCCGAGCCAAACCAAAGTCCAGAATCTTCAGAGTGCAGTCAGACTTCACAACTATGTTACTGGGTTTGAGGTCCTGTGAGAAACGCACGGACGCACACACACACACACCGGAGCACATTACGCACACCCACACACACCGGAGCACATTACACCTTACTACGTGTATTTGTGTACAACCAACTGAATCAATCTCTGTCAATTTTCATTCTGGATGAGGAATACGTCAAAAAATAAAGAGTGGCTGACTGACGGTGAGATTACATACAGCTGTCATTAGCATTAGCCTAGCATTTTAGAACCACGTCTTCAAGAAGGAGTCATTTTCAAAATCCAATACAGCTTTTCAACCAGGAGTTGCAGAAAACCAGACCTATTTGATTACACATTTTTGTTCATAATAATAATATTAATAATAATAACAGTCATTGTTATTATTATTATTAATATTATCCCAACATATTTCTGATGTTATTAAATCTCTGTATTCCACTTAGAACATACACACTGGTTATTTGTATCAAGTCAAGTCATGGAGCTGATTTAAGAGTTTCTCTTAGGGACACAGGCGTGGCGTTAATCAGTGTGCTGTCAGACGTACCCTGTGAATGATACCAGCGGCGTGGAGGTGTTTGATACCACACAACATCTGGTAGAGCAGATAAGACAGCCTCTCGTGGTCCAGCTCCATCTGAATGACCTGGCACAGGTTGGCATCCATCAGCTCCATCACCAAGTATCTGACCGAGCAGAAACGGCCAGCGGTGAAGAAGGATTTGAACCAATGAATACAGTAAATGGTACATGAAGCACGTGTGCTGTAGAAACAGTCACTGTGATTTACTTACACATCTTGAAATTCTTCTAACGACTTCTGTGGTGTGAATACATTTAAAAGGCCGATGATCTGTGGACAAGGTGAAGATTTGCAGATATGTTAAAAGGTCATGTGTCACCGGTTGGCTGCATTGTAACTGCATTGGTTTGCATACTCACATTTTTGTGATTGACACATTTCATTAGGACCAGCTCCCTGTACGCTCTCTTGGCATGGGTTTGATTTTGAAACGGCCGACTCAGCTTCTTTATGGCAACATTTCTTTCAAGGACTTGGTCATAAGCAGAACTGAAGAAGAAAGTTGGCTTTAGACGTCGGACGGTATTAATCTATGTCACTTGGGTTTTCAACAAACAGCGTTAAGTCTCTTTAAGTCTCAAATTCTAATGTTGTATTTGAGCAAATCTCTGTGTCACACACCTGGAGTCCTGTTAGTGTTACAGTGTAATGTAGGTAGGAGGACATACCATCCATTATTTATAAACTGCAAATACATTTTTTTCATTCATCAACATGACAGGCCGACCAAAATACCTTTTTACCAGGTGACAGTAAATAACTATGAAAACAAATTAGTATTATCATTAAATATTTTTGTGACATTTTTGTTTGGTGGTGTGCTGTGCTATTTCTCTGACGTAAAAAGAGTTGTGGGCGGTGCTTAGATTGAAAAGGTTTATGTTGCATTGCATTTGTAGCATTATTCTAAACATGCAGCTTTTTTTTTAGCTTCTCCTAGGCTGAATTTCCAACCAGTACATTACTGCAGATGTAATTAGTATGTTTTTTGTGATTTACTAGTAACTGTACTGTAAAGTTGCAGCTGACTGAATGGACTCACCATACAATCCCCTGTGCCCCTGAGCCAATGGGCCTCAGGTTCTGGTATCGCTTTAACACTGTGAAGGTTGAATCTCCAACATCCAGGCTGTAGAACTCTCTGTCTTTCTTGTTTTTGTTCATCGTGAAATCTTCAAGTGCTGCCCTCTGTGCATCCAAAAATGTTCTCTGTGAAGACAAACACAAACTTTTTCTTTTCTTTTTCAGCGATAGGTGTGGCTACAACAACAGACCAGCGTGAAAATTAGCGAGTCAGATGAAAAGTGCTGCTCTCAAGGAAAGCAGATTAGGAGTGGAGCAGAAAAGACACTGCTGAATTCCACACTGAAAGCAAGCACTGCAGTTCCTTATCTCAGCAAGTCAGCAAACACACTGGGATGGAGGATTTGATATCATCAGCAGGGGTGGCAGGACGGCAGGCCGCGGGGAGGTCTACTACTTCATCATGTGAAACACGATTCCCACAGCAACTCTGTCACATTGGAAAATCAAGCCCAGTGATAATTCCTTAGAGTCTGGACCCCGGCCCAGAACAACTCCAGCCCAGTTCTACAAGCAGGTTGACCACAGGCACAGGACGAGTGGGTCAACTTTCAAACAGGGATTTGAAGTTTTCTTTTTTTTTTCACTCAGAAATTGAAGAAATGACATCAGCTTTGTATTTCCTTAATTCGTTTCCAGAATAAGCGATGTGAGAACTCTTCCCACACAACACGCGCACACACATATGAGGGATATAAGTGCCAGAACAAAATGAGTCAGCCCTCCGTCTGTTCCTCCAACGTCACAGAGACGCACATGACATCCTCCTCCCTCGCAACACTTAAAAAATAGACGCGCTGCTTCCATTTGACAGGAGGACAATTAGGCCTGTCTGAGTTATGAAAGCATGACTGACACTGCATTAGCGTGTGCACTGTTGACTGTGGTTTATAGATGTCTGTTGCCAAGGAGGAGGTTAATATTTTTTTCCTTTAGTTTTATGAATGTCCATGAGGACAATCGAGGTCAGGTCAACACAGTGAGGACAATACAGGGACTTTACTCTCTCGTGCTCACCCTCTTCTTATTAACCAAACTTATTTCTATTCAGTCGTAAGTGGCATTAATATTAATGTGTCTGTAATAAAACCGTATGTTGATTCTCACTGATAACTGCAGCATCAACAGATCTTTCTGAATCAATAACAGACCATTAGACTGCAGTAATGTGTCGGTGCAGAGACTTACAGCAGGTCACAGCAGCCACATACAGCAGTATCAGTGGTTTCAGGCTGTAAAAGTGTCTGTCTTTTTTTAAATAAAATATTAGGCAAAAAGACAATTACTTTTCAGTCAATTAGAGGACTGCAATGAATGTGAATCAAAGGTCAGAAAGGATACTTTTATTTTGTCTCCCACTGGTACGTTGAGCAATTATTGCAGATCAAATAGAAGATAGAGAAAGACACTGTTTAAGGTACAATTTCAGGAATTTGGTGCAGTGTGAGAGCAAGTATTTACATGTAGCTGTAGAGACTAGCTATTGCTCACTAGATCTAATATTAAATCCTCCAAATGATAGACACAAACAGGAACGATTACTGCAGAACAATAACTTGACCAAGTTAAATACCTTTACTGAAAAACACAAATATGACAATGTCATAACTGTAAATAACCTACAGTTTAATTATGTGAAAAAATGATTCAGAATTTACAATAAGCTACTACCTTTTGGATCATTTGAGTTACATTACTGCCACCTATGGAGTAAATATCCTACTACATTGAAGTAGAAAATGCAACACAAGGGCAGAATCATGACAGAGAGGAATACACACGTCGATACACAACTGCAACTCTAAAACAATAATAAAATAATCAGGAAAACAACATATAATTTTAAGATAATATAAAAACCATTGGAACAATTCTATGGTGTGAGAAGAATACAAGGTTTGAGTGTTTAGTTATGCTAAAAATGTACTGTAACTAGAAACTAGTTTTGTGTTTGCTTTGTGAGTAAACTAAGCACACATTTGTGTTTAAGTCCACAGAGAGAGAGAGAGACAGACAGAGAGAGAGAGAGAGAAACAGAGAGAGAGAGAGAGGTGTCTGTCAGTATGGAAGAAAACACACGGACACAGAGGAGACGGTGTGTTGCTCGGTTGCAGTACTGACGCGCTGTTTACTCTCATTGGATGTGAGTGTCTTAACCTTGGCCACTGACCCCTGCACTGGTGTAGGTAACAGACAGGTACATGAATGCCCTCACTGCTGCACCACAGGAAACACATGCATGGATCAGCAGCAGCAGCAGCAGCAGCAGCACATTAGACCTCCTCCTGACAGATTATAATTGTATTACCGTAATAATATTAACACTAAGAGCCGGTGTCTGTGAATGACACGGCCTCCTCCTCCTCCTCTGCTGCCTGCTGCCTCCTGCACCTCTTCCTCCTCCTCCTCCTCCTCCTCCTGCTGCTGCTGCTGCTGGACAAACAGTGCGCAGTCTGTCGCCATACATGCAGTTTCTCCACACCCATGGGCAAACACTCGACACCTTAACATGTGTGGTATTTTTGGCTAAGTGTTAAAGACATTTCCAAACCCGAGGCGCCGCATTAAAGGACCGTGCAGTCGGCGACATGCCACCCTCCCCCACGGCCAAACAATGAGCACGTCTGAGGAGCAGAGGTGCGGACCCTCCTCTTACCTTTCCGACACCAAATCCGAAAGCCTGCGGTCAGGCTCAGGCACCGATCAGCGGCCACACGCTCCGCGATTGCGGACTCTGCTTTCTGCCGCCGACGAATGCCGATTTCTTCCGTCGTGCAGCTTAAAAATACATGACCTCACCAGATCCACTTGCCTACGTTTCCATCTGCCCGCTACTGACAGGCCGGGACGCGCAGTATGCACGGGGCATGCGTGCCAGCAGCGCGTCACTCCTCCACTGGGACACACCCACCATCTCCATCCATCCATCCCACATGCATCCTTCCTTCCTGCTGCCTTACTAATCGGGAGGTCCGCAGTCATGTCTTATTAATAGTTATATTATTAGATTACATAAATATATTTGAAAGTGTGAAGTTATGTCTGTCTGTCTGACTATCTCTCTATCTATGTAACCTGAAAAGTCCAAATGTGTGGAGTCCATAAAACAACAGTGATCACATCTTGCCTCCTCTACTGTTACACCAACCACCAACCATGTCCTCTATTCTGTTACACCAACCACCAACCATGTCCTTCTTCACTACATCAATAGCTGCTCCATAACATCTACATCCTCTGCTCACCAAATGTAAAGATACTGTATCTCAACCTTGGCATACAACATTACCATAACGACTAATGATCACGATCACTGGAGTATAGATTCTACTGCACCAGGTCGTCCAAATATTATTTTATGCTATCGTAATGATAAAGTTCTAATAACAAAACATCTAAAAGTTACTTTAATGAGAGACAGAATAGAAGAGGAATGACTGGGCACAAATGTCTATAATTGGAGTAAAAATAATAAAAAATAAAAAATAGAAAACGCTTTTTGAACCTTATGTATACAATGTCAGGCTTTGTAATGGTTTAGAGCTGTATTTTGCGAATGTCTGACAATGTTTTATATAGATATAGATATAAATATAGATATAGATATAGATATAGATATAGATATAGATATAGATATAGATATAGCTGGATTGTTGTTGTTTTTGTCAGTATGTGTACTGTGTGTAAATTTATACGGGTTGTACTCGAACAATTTACCTTCTGTCACATTTTCCGGGTCACATCCTCCAGCCCATATTAATGTGTGGACTCTTCCATTACATTTACTACGACAGTTGTGGGCTCTGCGGAACACCATAGCGTAGTAGTTAGGATACCATCTGACTGATCTGAGTTCAGGAGTGTCTACAGCGCCGTGCTCTGCATGTGTGGACATGTGACCGGACAAGTAGCGACCGGAATGAACTAACAGCATCTGAATTGCTCCTCTGCATCTATCTGACTGCTCTGGATGCTGGTTATTTACACCAGCCATCCCTGCGCAGATAGCCCGGGGCCTGCAGGGATACGCTGCACGCAGTAGAGAGGCATGGACCAACGTCCCAGCATCCGCATCAGCATCAGCAGCAGCAGCAGCAGCAGCAGCACCGACTCCCGCAGCAGGACGAGGCTACTACAGTTTCTTACCCCGTGTTCCAAGAGAGTCCGCAGTGTTATAATCATTGTGGGGGAGCAGCCCTACTGCAGCAGCAGCATCAGCATCAGCATCAGCAGGCTCCTACAGTCCACTGGTGTGGCCGCGGTCCTTCGTCCTTCCCGGGCTGGTCTGTAGCACACCTCACCGCTGAGGATGCACCGCACCTTCGGGCGTCAGACGGATTAGTTTAAATCGGTGTAGCTGATCTCACACCACCCGCTATTGGTGGCTCTGACTTGTCGGTGTCAAAGCGCCAGGCCAATAATCCAATTAAGCGTTTAGAGGCAAAAGACTAAGAATAGCGGCAGTTACAGTAGAAAAGTTTCACATCTCCAGCCCGGTGGTGGTGGAGGTAATAGAGTAGATGAATGGAGCACCATGCACGGAGGATGTCCCTGATGGAGCAGAGCTGCCTTCACTGAGAGGACGTCAAAACTGCGATGCCATGATCTTAAGGATTATTTTGGATCCGTGGTGGGAGCGTTGAAGATAACAGAGGATCAGACGGCTCACACTCAATACATGTGTTACCAGGTAGATTTTTATTTCCATTCCTAATCTTCACACTGTCATCGCACAGGGGAGGCTGGGGGGTGGAGGGGGGGGGGGGGTCCT